CATAAGCAACTACATTTAAAAAAAGGCAAAATTAATATCAGATAAAATGAAAGTTAAGGTTATACCTACTAAACAAGATAAAGATTATTCAGTGATAAAGACACAGTTCATAAAGATAATATAGCAATTATAAGCCAGCTTTAAAGTACTAATTCTTAGTTTCAAATTTACCTTTCTATATTTTGCTTTGTGATGCTAGAACTAGAATTCTGAAAATTGCTTTTTTGATTTGGCAGCTTACTTCCTGTTAATCTCTGGCAATAGGAAGCAATGAATTGTAATCATAAAGCAAAATGGAGCAAAACAAAATTATTCATTTTCTTACCATTTGCTTGTTCCCATTAGCATCACCCCAGTAAAACCCCATTCTGACAGTGACATTTCCTTGGGATGGCAGTACCTGCCTCTAGTCTGCAGTTTTCCAAACACCATGTGTCCCCTCCCAGAAACACACCAGTGGTCACTCCAGATTACCTTAGGACTCAGTCCCAACCCAGTGAGTCCCCTCATCTGAACTCAGAATAACCACCTCCAGCCAAACAGCACATCCTTCTTTGTTCTCCAGCTCTAGGTGTAGTTGCTTCCCACAGTTTTTAGCTCTGTGATAATCAAGAGTTCTTCTTATACCTTTTGGTTCTTTAATATCTAACTTTTTACATTAAATTATATCACTTAAATTATAATGGAATCCTGAGAAGGTAGTGGTTGAAATGATGGCCTATGTTTGAGATCTTTTGAATTCTCACATGAAAACAGACATTACCACTAGATAGCAAAGTAAAAAACAAACTATTTACAAAAAACAGGGAAACAGGGTCACCTTACAAACCTCAAAATACAAGTAGGTGGGGACAAGCCATCAGTTGTCATAAGCACTGTATCTTATCAGGGTCTATCAGGGAAAAGTGGAGTAAAGTAATTGGACATCTGATGGACCTGAGAACAGAAGTAACCCACATAAACTAAAAGTTAATCACTGAAAATCATGGCAATTTTATTTTTGAACAACACCTAAAACTAGGAGACATTTAATATATTCTAATAATTAGAGGTAAGTTTTAAAGGTCTGACTAGTTCCCATAAATGCTCATAACCGGCCCACTAGGATTCCCTTCAAGTGCAAATTCTCATACTGAAGTGAAACTTCTGGATGAAACAACACTTGTTCAACACAGGAACAACACAGATTAATGAAATGAAGGTTCAGATAAAATGGAGAAGGAAACAGAGCCAGAGACTGCACCAAACAAGCCACCCTAGTTTTACTAATACAAATATGAAAACAACAAAAAGGGAGCTTTTAAGAAGAAAAGCTATCTAAACCAAATCTTCTTTTGAGAAGTAATAAAAGTTAAATTTACATAAAAGTAAGCACTAGAAAACTATTGAAGTCAAATACTACACAAGTTAACTATAAGAAAAGATGACGATAAGAAACAATAACCCTGCAGGCAAAGAAACCACACTAGAAAGACATACGCAGCATGTATGGAAATTGGAAATACCATTTCAGAATGAGCTGAAAGACAGTAAGAAAAGACACAAGATATGAAGAAACAAAAATCAGAATAGAAAAACTCAAATAGCTGATGTAACTAAAAAACACATTTCAGAATTACTAAAGTAGGAGAAAAAGCACATAACACACACACCAAATTCAACAACTAATGCCTTATAAGAAATAGTAAATTTTTTAAAAAAAGGAATTAAAAAAATGGATAAAAAGGATTTGAGAGAAAATAACAAATATTGATAATATAAAAAGTAGATTAAACATACAGATATGGAATCCTAAAAACAAATCTTTGGAATAGAACAAGTATTAAAAACTTGATGAAACTATTAGTATAAAATATAGAATAAAAGAGCACAGCGTTCTCTGAAAATATCAACCCCAAACAATGATGACCAAAACATATTCTAGTAAAATTACTGTACTGTACAGAAAAAAATTAACTTGGGAATCTAGGAAAAAGTATATATTCTATAAGGGCATCACAATTTATCATCAAATTTTTTAACAGCAATGCTTTTATTCAAGAAGAAATTGAATCATGTATTTAAGATACTGAAATGGGATAAAGCAAATGAATAATTATGATATATTCTAAACCTATCATTTTGTGTGACCTAGAGAACAAGAATTCTAAGTGTGGAAGAAAGGAGATACAGATGTAAAAATTTTTTTAAAAGGTTAGGGAAAAACCCTATAGTGCTGAATTTGTAAAGTCCAGGGGAAAAAAAAAACCTGTAACCTAGCTTGTGGACTATTATTTTGATGACATACAATTTTCTTGTAAAGAAAGTCATGAGTTCTTGATGAAATGACTGATTCCAGATCCACAGCACAAAATGTACTAGAATATCTTGAAATATTATATAGCAGATTTTGGGAACCGCTCTGCCTGATTTCAGGAGTTGTAACTGCCCCCCATGGCTAAGGCTGAGTGAGCAACCTCCAGAACACAAGCCACTAAGGAGACAAACCTTGTCTTGGGAAACTAGCTGCTTCTGCTTCATCCCCTGCCCCCAGTGCCTGGTCAGTTAGTTAAAGACAGGTATGACCCCTCAGAGTGGGGGCAACCTAAGCCAGACACAATAACTTGGGAGGCCATCATGGAAGGACTCAGGGGCTGCAATGAAGAGGGAGTGATGGACCCTCACCCCCCAGCTATTCTGACATAGCCTGAGTCCCCATTTCCATCTGGGAGAAGCGCTTCCTGGCTCTAATCCACTTAAGCCTAAAACCTGTGATGGGGGAGGTGGTGCAGCCCCTTTCCAACTAGAGTGGGATCCAGGGTGATTGGGCATAAGAAAGAATTCCTAAAGTCCTGTGAAGCCAGCTTTGCTAAGAGTGCTTTCATTCATATGATAAGGGTCTGAACAGGAAATAAGTATGTCTCCCAAAGTTTCTGCAACCCCCTTACCTGACAGACACTGACTCAGACTAAGCCCTCGGATTCCTTTGAAATGTTATCTACTATTTGATCCTTACCACCTGTATTCCTGTGGATTACAACCCAATAAAAGCCATTAAGGAAGGGGCTCTGGGCCCTTCTCCTCTGAGAGATTGACCACCTCTCCTCCCCAAGCAGATCATGTCTTGGTAGTTTCACTTTCATCCTTGGCAGATGGGGGGACTTTGCAGGTAAAGTTGCCCCCACAAGCAGAGGAACAACCAACATTACAAAGGTCACATCAGAAGGATTCAGAAGTAATGTTGAGGGCCTCACTAGCCATAGATTATATAAAAATTACATGAATTGAAACCACACAGATATGTTTAAATTTGTGATTTCATAATAATATTAAGTAATATTTTAAAAGACTTCATTGGGAACTGTGGTAGGCCTCCAAAAGTATCCAGTTCTTAACCTAGTCAAATAGAACCTCTAAAACTATAAGAGAATAAACGTATGAAGTCTACCAGAAAAAGTCCAGGCCTTGTTAAAATAATGAGAACAGTTTGCGTGACATCAGTGTAATCTGGCAGCCAAGGAGAGTGGACTGGAATGCACATGTGTGAACAATGATGACTTCACTGTACTAGTCAGTGGGGGTGTTAGATGCCATTGAGTGAGCATGTGTACTGTGTGGTCATCACATTCAAAATGACTGAGTGAGTAGCACAACAAATCTGCATCAAATTTTGAGTTAAACTTGAATATTCCCCCACAGAAACTATTCAGATGATTCAGAAGGCTTTTGGGGACGATACAATGAGTGCAAGGTAAATAAAAGTGTGGCACAAACACTTCAAAGATGGTCAAGAATCTGTTGAACCTGATCCACGTTCTGGAAGGCCTGCAACAAGCAGAACACCTGAGAATGTTGAACATGTAAGGGCTGCAATTAACAAATGAAAGTACTAAAAATCAGTGACTGACAGTGTGAGAACTAGAAGCTGATCTGGGGATCCCAAACACTACTGTGTCTGAGAGTTTGATGCAGGATCTTGGCATTAAATATGTCATGGCAAAATTCACTACCAGAGCAAAAGGAACATTGTGCTGCAGTTCGGAGAACTGTGTGAGGTCCTAAGGTGTCTGCTTTGAAGGGTACTGAGGCATCATTGCCCTATGTACAATATTTCTAGTATCTTATTCAATAAATGTCATTTCTCATAGTGCGTGGCTGGATACTTTCAGGACAGGCTTTGTATGTTATTTTAAGATACCAAGTTTGTGGTAGTTTGTGTCAGAGGCCATAGGAAATCAATACAGTCATCAATAGTTGAGTTATAAATAAAAGCAAAGAAGTAAGCATTCATTTCATCTTTCTTAAGTGTACCATACCAGTCAGTAAATATTAAATTACGAGTGTCTTCTTACAAACTTGTTCCATCTAGTATATAACAGCATTAAGATATCACTATTTTGCAAACACCAGTGAATTAATTAATGTAGGCATTGAGCAAATGGCTACTAATATCAAAATCAAGTGAAAACAAATTATATCTGCCTTCAGATAAAAGATTATAATCTTAACAAAGGGATAAAAATGTAGTTTTATCAAGCTCTGGGTACTGAAAAAAGTCTGCAAAACAAAAAAGAAAAAAAAAAGAACATGCTGAATTACATCATGAGTACATGGATCAGCAATATCCAAACACTGAAAAATTAGGCAAAAATCTTAGTTTTTCAACAGATAAACAGTAAAGAAAAGAAAGGAATGGAGGAAACACGTGTATGTAGGAAGAGACTTAAAAGACAACTCAGATTAACAAAAATGGGTAAAACTATGCTATAGTGTCTAGGGGTATATGGTGTCTTAGATGATTTAAAAAATCCAAAGAAATGAGTATTATAAAAATTGAGATAATGAATATGGGTGGGAGAGAGCTGTATATAGAGAACAGACAGGCTTTTAGGATGCCTAACCAGTTTCCATTTCTTGGCCAGGTTGATGGTTATAAGGGTATTATCTCAGACCATCTGAGCTGCTGTAACAAAATACTACACTTCGGCAGCTTACAAACAACCGAAATTTATTTCTTACAGCTCTGGAGGATGGAAATCCAGGATCACAGCACCAGCACGGTTGCCTGTGAGCCTCCATGCAGAGTGTCACAGACTTGTACCCTCAGTAGGCAGAGGCACTGAGGAGCTCTCTGGACCCCCTTAATAAGGTACTAATCCCCTTCATGAGGGTTCCACCCTCATTACTTAAACACCTGCCAAAGGCCCCACTTACTACTACCATCAACTTTGGGGTTCAGATTTTAACATCAGTTTTTGGGGGACACAAACTTTCAGAATGTACCAGGTATTTCACCTTATTTAACTAAGCTTCAGTTGCTTTTGCATGTTTTTCTTTAATTTTATTTTCCAATAAGAGACAAAAAAAGAAATAAAGTAACAACTACTGGACTAACAAGCCACCCCACCATGAACAACTTTAAAAAATGGACCTAATATGGGAAATAACTGTTTTCAGACTTTGGAAATTTTTTAATGAGCCAAAGACAAATAGACAAATTTGTCTATTTTAGGGATTTTCTATGCAGCAGTATTATTAATAGGATAAGAACTAGTATTGACTTCTTCTTAGAAACAATATAAGCTGGAGGGCAATGGAAAAACCTCAAAGTACTGAAAGAAAAAACTATAATCAAATTCTATATCTACTTAAAATATCCTTCAACATGAAGGCAAAATAAAGACATTTTTAGACAAACGAAGCTAAGAAAATAACAGCACTAATAGTTCAGTACTACAAGAAATGACGAAGTTATTTTAGGCTGAATAAAAATAATACAAGATGAAAATTTAGATCTATACAAATGTTCTAACAATCCAGTTAAAAGGCCAGATTTTCAGACTGGACAAAAAAGCAAGAGTAAACTGTATGATGTTCACAATAACCAATTTAAATATTAAGGAAATGATAGGTCTTTAGTCATTAAAAAAAGCTTAAATGGCTATATTTATATTAGACAAAATAAACTTCAGGTCAGACAACATTACCAAAGTTAATAATGTCATCTCACAGTAATTAAAGGATCAATTTCTGACGAGGACATAATAATCCTAAATGGGTATACACCTGATAACAGAGCTTGAAAGGGCATGAAGCAAAAACTAAGGAACCGAAAGAATGAATAATGAATTCATATTTATATTTCAAGATTTCTACTCAATTTAGTAATTGAGAAAATAAGTTGACAGAAAACTCATTGTTTATAGGAGACATGAACATCACCAAGCCTAACAATTAAAATATAGAGAACATGAAAAAGAATACATGTTCTTTTTCCATGGACAAGAAATAGTCATAACAATACATGATATATTAAGCCATAAATTAAGTCCTAAAAATGTAATCAAAGTCATATAGCACGTATTTACTGAACACAATAAAATTTTAAAACAATATCAAAATTTATTTAAAAATACATGCCTAAATATTTGAGAATTATACAACACAGTTCTAAATAACCTACGGTTCAATGAATAAACATTAAATTAGAAAAATGTGAGCTGAATGAAATGAAAATATTGTGGGATTACAATGAAAAGAACATTAAAATTAATAGGGTGCAGTTAAAGTGATTTTTAGAGGGAAATTTATAGCTTTAAATGCTAATATTAGAAAAGAAGAAATGTTTAAAAATCAATTACCTAAGTTCATATTTTAAAGAAAAATTAAACCCAACATAAGTACAAGGAATAGATTACCGAATTAAATAAAAAGATAATAAATAGAGAAAAATCAATTGAACAAGGAGCTAATTCTCTGAAAATATTAATAAAATTTGTAAACATCTTAATAGACTACTCAGAAAAGAATGAAAGCAGACAAAAATTACTAAAGACAGGAATGAAAGAAAAAAACTCTACGAAGACTATATACATTAAAAGAATAATAAGGATATATTTTGCTCGCTAAAAGACAATTTAGATAAGATTAAAATTTTCTGAAAGGCCAAATTAACAAAACTGGCACAGAGTGAAAAATAAGCATGTGAACAAATCTATTTAAAAAAAAGAAAAATTATTTTTAAATCTTCCCCAAATATCAGTGACTCATGGTTGGACAGATAGATTCAAGCATATACTAAAAGAAAAGCAACACGAACCTTACACATACTCCTTCAGAAAATAGTAGTAATGAGTATTTCCAACTCATTTTATAAGGCCAACATTATCCTAATGTCCCAAAACCAGACAGACATGACCAGTGGACAAAACTCCAGGTGAATAGCCCTCATTATCATAGATGCAAACATCCTTACCAAATCAATGTAAATCAAATCCAGCAATACATAAAATAATACATTATTACCAAGTGCAATTTATTCCAGAAATTCAAGATTGACCTAACTTTTTAAAAATACTGATATTCAACTTAAAATGGATTATAGCTCTAAACATAAAAACTAAAACAACATAAAACTTTTAGAAGAAAACCTAGGAGAAAATCTTCATTTAACTGGGGTAGACCAAGATTTCTGAGATAAAAAAACACCAAAAACTTCTATCATAAAAAAGAGATTTGTCCAAATTAAAAACTTCTGTTCTACACGTTTAAGGGTTTGTTGTAAACTTTATCATTTAAAAAGTTATTTAATAAAATATGTATAATGTACTTTACAAAGTAAGAAATTAAAGCAGCTGGCAGGCTGTTACAAAGAATGAGCCCAAAGAATGAGCCACGTGCGTGCTGCGGATCACTAAGCGCAGGCGCAGTTGGGGCAGGAAACCGCTGCGAGTCCAAACTTCCGTTTGGCAGGAGCAGGGCAGGTCCAAGATGGCGGCCAGCAGGCGACTGCTGAAGGAGCTGGAAGAAATCCGCAGAAGTGGAATTAAAAACTTCCAAAACATCCAGGTTGATGACACCAATTTACTGACTTGGCAAGGGCTTATTGTCCCTGACAACCCTCCATATGATAAGGGGGCCTTCAGAATCGAAATCAACTTTCCAGCCGAGTATCCATTCAAACCACCGAAGATCATATTTAAAACGAAGATTTATCACCCCAACATCGATGAAAAAGGGCAGGTCTGTCTGCCAGTAATTAGTGCTGAAAACTGGAAGCCAGCAACCAAAACTGACCAAGTAATCCAGGACCTCATAGCACTGGTGAACGATCCTGAGCCCGAGCACCCACTTCGGGCAGACCTAGCTGAAGAATACTCCAAAGATCATAAGAAATTCTGTAAGAACGCTAAAGCATTTACAAAGAAATACGGGGAAAAGCGGCCTGTGGACTAAAATCTGCCGCTATTGATTCCAGTGAGGGGGAGCTGAGATCCCAGCAATGCATTGACCCCTGCAAAGCAGGACTCTGAAAAACTGACACGTGCCACCATTAGTGGCAGTTACTAACTTTCAACAGTTCTCTTAAATTAAAACTGCTCTACGTAACGTGTAAAGAAGGGATTAAAAATGTAAGATGTTCTGAACAACAAATAAAAAACAAAATCTCTATTTGGCAGGATAGGATCACATTTCATCCCAAAATAGAATGTAAATGTAGCTACGTGTTTTAAGACTCATTTGAAATCTACAAATGTTCTTTGGTAAACATTTATTTTACGATTCTGACTTTCCTGTTCCTTCTTTTCCAGTTTTTTTCTTAACTATCAGCTGTTGGTTTACAGTGCTCACTCACTTATCCTTCCTTCCTTGTTTTTCCTTGTTGGAAGCTGTAGAGGTGCAGAAAGGTTCCACAGTAGTAACTGCCTTTCTCCTTTTCCTCTCCGCTTCCCCACTCAGAATTGTAGGTATCCATTTTATAGGTTCAAACCTGTATTAAGATGTGTTTCGTTATAACACAGTGACAGTCTTGGTTCCTTTTGGAGTGGATTCAATAAATGAGTTATTATTTAGGTTTTGCAATAGTATCTTCATTTTAAATTGGAGTCGTATAAGTTTAAGGTTTACAGCACATTGATTTGACTTCTATGTTTGTGAAATGATGACCACAATTGACTTGGTTAACAACCAATATCTCATGTACATATGAAAAAACAAAAAGCAAAAACAAGATCCTTTCTTCCCTTGTGGTGAGAACTCCTAGGATTTACTCCTGTCAGTTCTACAGCACTGTGTTAACTATAGTCATCATGTTCTACATAACGTCCCTTGTACTTATTTATCTTATAACTGAAAGTTTACCTTTTGACTCTCTTCATCCAATTTCCCCTTCACCACAACCACCTTAGGTAACCACAAATTTGATCTCTTTTTCTACAAGTTTGTTTGTTTTTAACATTATATAAATGATATCATACAGTATTTGTCTTTCTCTGTCTGACTTATTTCACTTAGCAAAATAATTAATGCCCTCAAGTTGCATCCATGTTGTTGCAAATAGCAAGATTTTCTTTTTTGGGGGCTAAATAATATTCCATTCTTTACTCATTCATCACTGGACACTTAAGTTGTTTCCATAGCTTGGCTATTGCAAATAATGCTACTATGAACATGAAGGTGCATCTGTCTCTTTGACAGTGTTTTGTTTCCTTCAGATATACTCAGCAGTAGAATTGCCAGATCATATGGTAGTTCTATTTTTAATTTTTTGAGGAACCTCCATACTGTTTTCCATAGCAGCTGTACTGATTTACAGTCCCACCAACAGTGCACAAAGGTTCCTGTTGGAGCCCAAGAGGCCTGTGAGGGGTCGAGGATAGGGTCTAGCACTGCGGGTGTGGTGACTGGGCCTGGTTTCCGGCCTCGGGGCTATCTTGGGTTGTAACAGTTCTCTGACCCCTTGAGAAACTAGCCGCCTCTCCCATCAACTCATATCTTTGGCCTGTGCATCATGTACCCAGAAAGTATGTTACCTTGGGAACGTCCTGACTCTAAGGGAAGAGATAAACTTTGTAGGTCAAGGAAGTGAGCTACGTGCCAGAAGGCTTCTCCTTTGTTCTCCTTTGTATCCAAGACTGTATATAAGCCAGAAGACTGCGCAATAAACTTGCCTTATGCCAGCAGAGCATTTGGTCCTCTCCTTTATTTCAGTCCCTCGCTCAGCCTCACGACCACCCTTGCCGCGCTGCGGCAGGTTCCCTTTTTTTCCACATCCTCACCAGCATTTGTTATCTCTTGTCTTTTTAATGACAGCCATCCTAACAGGCACGAGGTGATACGTCTTTGTGGTTTTGATTTCCATTTGCCTGACGACTAATGATGTCGAGCACCCATTAATGTACTGTTGGTCACTTTTATGTCTTCTTTGGAAAAATGTCTAGTTAGCTTCTTTGCCCATTTTTTAATTGAATTATTTGTTCTGTGCTATTGAGTTTTATGAGTTTTTTACATATTTTGAATTTGGGCCCTTTATCAGACGTATTGATTTGCAATTATTTTCCACTTTCATTCCATATGTTGTTTTGTCACTCTTGATGGTTTCTTTTGCTGTGCAGAAGCTTTTTAGTTTGAGGTAGCCCCACTTGTTTATTTTTTATTTTGTTGCTTGCACTTTAGGTGTCATACCAAAAAACCATGGCCACACCCACCTCAGGAAGCATCTTTCTATGTTTACTTCTAGAACTTTTATAGTTTCTGGTCTTATATTTAAGTCTTTAATGCATTTCAGTTTAATTTTTGTGAGATGTGTAAGGTAAGGGTCTTGTTTCATTTTCTTACATACTAAGCTCTTATTAAAGAGAGAGTCTTTTCTCCATTAAGTATTTTTGGCTCCCTTGTTAAATATTTGTTGACTACGTATAAATAGGTTCATTTCTAGGCTCTGGATTCTTTTCCGTTGGTCAATATATCTGTGTTCATACCAGTGTCACACTGTTTTAATAACCATAGCTTTATACTATAGCTGGAAATCAGGAAGTATGATGCCTCTCAATTTGTTCTTTCATAGGGTAACTTCTGCTTTTAAAACCTACCATTAGAAAAATTAAAAGTCTGCCCTGGCTGGTGTATCTCAGTGGATTGAGCAGGAGCTGCAAACCAAAGGGTCACTGGTTCAATTCCCAGTCAGGGCACATGCCTGGGTTGGTGTTCAGGTCCCCAGTGGGGGCTAGGTGACAGGCAACCACACGGTGATGTTTCTCTCCCTCTCTCTCTCCTTCCCTTCCGCTCTCTCTTAAAATAAATAAATAAAATATTTTTAAAAGATTAAAAGGCAAGCCATACATTGGGAGAAAATGTTATGTCTATCAAATTATATAAATAAACCTTTATGCACTTAATATACATATTATATATTTTATTGTGACCATAGTTATAACCCTATTTTATTATATTTTGTATAAAATTATATGTATATAAATACTACATAAATATATAAGTAGTCAACAAATACATGAAAGGTGCTCACCATTAATAGTCATCAGAAAATTGCAAACTGAAATTCAAATGAGTTACTGCTACATACCCTTTCATATGGGTAAGATGAAAATAACTAGAAATACCAAGTTTTGGAAAGGATGTGAAGCAACAAAAACTCACAAATGTCTGGGGGAATTGTAAAATAGTACAAAACTTTAGAAAGTATTTTGTGTTTTCACAACATCTTGTTTTAGAACACATTTATACAAATAATTAGATGTCAAGAAATAGCCTAGAAACTTATCTTATTCCAAAAATAAAGAGAAAATTATACACAAATACCTCTTAGTTTCAATCAATACTAGAAGACAATAAAACATATATTTACAGTTCCAAAGGAAAAGAGAAAATCTCTGAAGAATTTGATACAAGACCAAATTATTCCACAGGTTTAAAGCCAACAAACTGACCTTTCAAACCTACAAAAATCAGAGAATAAATTATATTCATTTAAAAAATTGAAAGTATTAAAACAAAAATAAGCTTAAAACTAAACCAAAGTAAAAACAAAACCTTGTAGCAAATGTTAAAAAAAATATTTTAAATAATTTGACAGAACTAAGACTAAACACATCAGATGAATATATTTAAATAAACTCACATAGTAAAAGAGAAAAAGATTGAATCAAAAAGCCAAATCAAAGTATAAAGTGTACATTGAACAGATGTATGTAAAACCAATCTAATCCAGAAAGATTGAAAATTAATAGTTGGACACAGACATTTCTGCAAATGCCAACAAAATGAAAATAGGGAATTTTTATATCTGTTTGTATGTATCAATTTCTTTGCAGAAATTGCTAGATGCTTTTAAAACTCATAGCCTCTTCCACATGGGAGACCACTTTTCCCAGCCCAAAGTGCAATCAATATAAATATGGCCTTGTGACTGGATTTTGGCCACAGGTAGTAGGTAGGATGCATCTACTTTTAGGCCAGACGACAGCATGCTTTGTGCAGTTATCTTACTTTTTCTCTTGACCACCAACTAAAAGCAAAAGATCCAGCATAAAATTCTGAGGGGGGCATAGAAGATGGCTTGCACTAATTTGTTCTTTTCTAAACATGAGTATAACATACTTAATAATTTATACTTATTCCTCTAGAGCCTATGGCCCTCCACACCAGAAGGAAGTATCTCAGGGGTGACTGCCTCATTCTGTGGCCTTGACCTCCTCAAATCCCAGCTATCAGATATCCTTAAACTTCAGAGGAAATGTAATGTTAAAACATTGCTGAGTAGTGCAATATAAAACCATTGCTTTTGTCTCCTTTTCATCACGTAGAAGTTCTGAATCATCAAAGCCTGTCCATCTCTTAATATTTTTAGGGCGGCTTAACCATTTGATAAGAATGACCTCATTTCCATCATGTTTCTTTGGTGTGTCCTCACTTCAATGGGGTTATTGTTTTTGGTTCTTTTGGCAGCTAATCTCTGCATCTTCATGATCTTTTAACTATAAATTAGTTGCTAACTACTGGTTACCAGTTTTGTCACTAAATATATCTTTCTTGTTACTATCTCCTGGTGCTACTTTTTAAATCTCTCCTTTAAACCAGGTGACATCCCATGATTTTCTCTCTCACAAAGTGGACTTTTCTGGTTTTCATTTTAAAATCTAAAGAATTTCTGACTAGGACATTTATAGATTTTTGCTTGTTTATTTTTTGCAAATGATCTGATCACTGTAACTAGTAATAAAGCTCTAAATTATGTCAATATATTAGAATGTATTTTGGGCAGTTAAAAATACCCACTACATTTAGATTTCAAAGTGCTATTGAACTGCTCTAACTATCTCAGCCTTAAGTAAATCACTGTTGACAAAATGATGAATGTTACACTTCTTTAACAGTTTCCTTATGGAACTATTAAAATCCCCCCTTTCTTCTCCCCGATCTGTCCAAACTGTCTATACTTCCATGGCCCGAATTAAATATCATGTTGGGAGTACAGGCAACATAATGACCTCCCTTGTCTTTTTAGACCCTTGGCTTGAGTAAAATTTAAAAGGAACACCATTGGATGCCAAACCTTTTTCTACTACATTTATAAAACTATCGCACATTCCCCAAGT